GGAAACGTCAGCAATTTTTTTCCCTAGATATGAGCACATTTGTCTCAAACGATTTTTAAAACAAATTAAAACAAAAACTTTTGCAGGAATACAAGCATTTTCATGTGGATATTTTGTTCTCTTTCTAATAACACTCATTTAAAAATTGAAAAGAAACAACATTGAATGTAGAAATTGTGTGCAGCCATAATATGTAAGGAACATGGACGTTGTCAGTAAACATGATTACAAAATGAAAAAGATACCATGCAAAAGAAGAACAAATGAAATATTAACGCTCAACATATTGAGTTCATGTGTAGATTTTGAAGTGAAATTTCGCAAAGTAACCGTGAAGAAAATTTTTTGACTGAAAAAGAATTTTTATTCTGATCTGCCTTTCTTTTCCGGTGTAGGAGTAACGAGTAACAACGATATATTGTACAAGAGTAACATTAAGTTCGATTATCATCAATGAACATTTAAGCGAAACACGATTGGCTAGGACCATCTCACGCAACACGGGTTAAAAGAAACACCTTTACAGAAATTTTTCCAATAAAACTAGCGTCTGATGACTTGGCGTAAATAATAGTAGGAGTTTTAGCAGCGACGACAAAAAGAAGTGAAAGTCCGGGTTAAGTTATGAGTAGCATTTAGCGCCGTTATCAGATGGAGAGCTTGCCAAGAGGCCTCTTGTACCCAAATTGTGAGAGCTAAAATTTAGTAGGAAGCTTTTCTTCCTAGCGACCTAAGGTTTATCAGGTGTAAATTCACCTGTTCATGGGTGCAGGATGTCTTTCATTTTGATAGATTATTGTAAATTCAGTGCGAGGTTATGAAGAATTTACTTGTACTTTAGGTACTGACGAACAGGGATAAAATTTTCGCCCGTTATCTTTGACCGGTATAATGTATATAAAATACAATATTGAATATTGTTCGTGAAAGAAATGCTAGATATTTTTTCCATAGTTAGTATTAGCTTATAAAAAACTGTTGTTGGATTAATCAACGATTCTTTTATCTCTTGAAAGATCTTTACATCATCAAATAGAACCCGCAATTACTTTCAAGCTTACAGTTGTTTATATTTGATGTTTGGTAGTGTGTACTGTACAAAACAATGAATTTTTGATATTGTAAAACCTTCTTTACATCGCTGAAACTACCTAGCCGATTATAAACGATTACAGTTCGCTTGCTCATATTGCAATTGGCGTGTTTAGCAAGCCGAGTTGTACGTACAGTAATGCGATGCCTGAGGTCGACAAGAGCTTTTGGATGAAGAGGGCATCTTGAAAACTTGTAAGTCTGGCCAAAGTATTGTGGAGGAGCGAGCTTCAGACGAGCTGGAAACAGTGAGGTGTCATGCCGTAATGATGGGTCTGTCACACGAAACTCTCAACAAGTGCTACACAAATGATGGTCTCTTCCATAAATGATAGGACTACACGGACAAACTTCCAGAACACAATGTGCAAGTAGCACTAGACATTACGAAGGCATCATAAGCATCGTCGGTGAAAGGCACACAAGTGATTATGGTTCAGCACTTTGATGAATTACCTGAGGAGGCCTGGGTCATTTTCCTCATGAAATAATGAGTAGGTAGACCGCAAGAAGTTAATAAATGATGCAAGAGGACACTGAAATGTAAATTAAGTAAGTTTCAGAAAAGATCTAAGAAAATTGCCGCTTGTGTAAAGGTTAAAATTAGAATTCATTAATTAAACCTTTAATTCCAACTCCTGAGCTTTCTCTGGACATACAATACAAAAGAAAAAAAATTATATTATTAACTATAATAAAAAGTAACAAAAATTAGAAAACAGCAACTATAGAGCATATGATCGGTAATTCATTCAGTCGTAGACCATTCAAATACTGCAAATAAGTCGAGCTTACAAGATGAAATAATTCAACTAACGAAAGAAAGACCTTACACATCGTTAAGCGTCTTTAAATATTGTATCTTACGAAGTTTGGCTATAGCTCACTAATGATCTATCAAATTTGACGTATATATTTTTTAGATAACGAGTTGCCTATGGACTCGATGTTGGTGCCGATGACGAAAATCCTGCAGTTCACTATAAGAGTGTCGAATAGTTTACTAATTATATCGATATTATTAAAATTAAAATTATATACTTATTAGTTTACTTCTTATATATAGTCTACTTATATTAGTAAACTGGATAGAGGGGACGAGCTATTACTTTAGGGACGTTTCAATGAATAATAATTGCGTCGTATTAGTACACCTGGGTTTAAATTTACTTGCAGTAATTTATTTCTGGATCCATTTTACGGACATTTTCTTATTTTTGCATTCTTCTTGATTATGATGTGAATATTTATAGAGTCAATATTGGAATAAAACAACTAACTTATATTTCAGAGCCAATGTGCAGTGCTTTCAAAATTCAAATAACGATATAGGAACTCCTTAGCGAACTATTCAAAATTCAACTTACGACATGCGAACCCCAACGTTAGTTCTGATGAGTTGTAGATATTGTAGGACTCTTCTCCAAACATGAGCATCGACCCTTCCAACAAGATATATATAAGCAGATAGCAGTATGTCAGATAATATCATCTATATTTCCTCGAAACCAAAGATACACAATAATAAATTCTTCAGTTATTGAGCAACTGGCATTCTCATTCATCATTACCTGGTACGATTAAAAGGATCATCGAAAATTTATCAGTACATGGAAATTGAACAAGCTTGACTTGACATTGACATACCTAAATATTAGTGAACAAATATCCGAGCAAAATGCACTGGAGTGAACGACCGGCGCTAGAGAAAGTGCTACAGTGCGTGCATTACTATGCAACGTACGTGGGTCAGAACTGCATGAATAATGCAAACGAATGAAGGCGACGTACGCTGTAGCGTTCATACTCGCACCGTAAAAGACGGCAATTAATCGCAAACATGAGATTTATGATCACTGAAGTCTTTCACTGATTGCAAGGCAGCAAACAATAATGCAGCTTTAACGAATTTATTGTCAATTGAATGATAAAGCTCACAACCATGTGGTCGTCAGTGAGTATAATGAGCAAAGCACAGCAGAGATATTGAAGCGTTTAAGTGGTACTTTCATACCAACATATCAGGAAGAAATACGTATTATAAGACATGCAACCGCCTACTTGAAGCCAACATTCGATAAAAAATTAGCACTTGCTTGCCAGTTGTGGGAGCAGAAGAATTATTGCTTCAAAGTAATCCTAGCAGCGCATCGAGCTGCGCACACTCACCCACCGAGACTCGCGTAATTGAGGTCTACGATGAAAGTTAATAGGGATAGTGCCAAATTAATTGCGCGCTATGAATTCATGCACGTTGGTTCATACATGGAGCACATATTCAATGTTTTTAATATGATTTCACTGACATGTGGGATTGCAAAAAACATGAATACCCTTAGTTCATGAAACGATTAATATCCGTGGTTCATGTTCAAAAGAGAAACACAAGGACACACATTGACTTAGTAGAAAGACAATTTTTGACATTTTTGTTTACTAATGGCATAATGTCGTCGGTATATAACTATTTCCCCCTTAATTCAAGCAAGAAGCTTAGATGAATAAGAAAGGTTAACGGATGACCGCAGCAGCCAGTGTCGCTACTCAGTTCAGAACACAGCCTGTAAAATATCACGCGGTCGATAGTAGAATTCCCTGGAAATTTGGCAGGGCTTTCAATTTATTAATAGTTATATGGTAATTATAATTTATTAATAGGTTAATAGTTATAGTTATATGTTATAGCTATATTCACATGTAATTAATACAATGTTTGAAGCATGTACAACAAGTTTTCAGCAAACGTATTCACATAATCAGAAGACGCAACGCAATGTATAATTAATCCAAGGGCCCAAAAGGGATAAAAATAGCAGAGAAAAAGTTCAATGTCGGACATCAACGTAGATCATTTGGTTCAGGGAGCTGGCCAACGAGTAATCGCCCTGGACGAGGTGCACGTCAATTAATCATAAGCCACCTGGCCTGGCAGAGCTCCGAATAATGATTATAGCGATAACATCCTCTCGGAGGTGTCGAAAACTGCCGAGACTCGGAGAGCAATCAACCAAAGAAATCGGTTAATTATTCATAACCTGACTGAAACTTGATTCTCGACAGGTCTCAAGGCTGAAAAAAATAAATGCAGTAGCTTATTGACAGCGACAGAAATTATTGTAGCCGTCCAAAGAACGTATAGTTATACTACCTTGTATTTTTAAATGGCGGCCTTCAAGGTTCAATAATGGTCTGAATTCATAAGCCATTGCGTTGGTCCGATAAACACATTTGAAGAAATTTCGGTTGTCTTGAAGGAAAAATGGTAGCCAAGTTGGGAACATCATTAAGTTTTTTAAAGAGCGTCTAGCAATTGTCGCAGCATATGTTGTGATTTCTCTGCTGTCACATCCCGTTAGCGATTCTATTGAATTATTCGAATATCTAAGTTTTTCAAATATCCCTATATTACAAAATTTGATATTAGAACGAAATAATTCGACCAATACATATTTTTTAATGAATCAAATGAAGCAATTCCAATTCGATTTTAAATGAATTACCAGATAGCAGCTATTGCAGCAACTTGTATGATAAAGACGGGCAGTTTGTGCACAGTCTCACATGAGCGATGCTTTGGAGACTTGAGGAGTTATAACTTATAAATAATCTCAAGTTTTAACTAAATGGCATAATACCGGAATTAAATGCATAGTATATAAAATGACTGAATTTCTCACAATTGATTTAAAACCAATGTCATCTGCAATCAGATTTAAACGGTAGTAAAAAACGGGTACAATCTGAAATATTATTATAACATATATTAATGATATTATTAATATTATTATTCTACGAAGCAGTTATCGCGGAGTCTGGTTCAAACGAACTTCGATGGCACGTTACACATATGTTTAATAGCAAGCGAAAAATAAATATACACGAGAAAAGATGAGGACAGATAAAAATGACTAAGCACCTGATTCATAGGCTCTACGAATAGTTCCGCCTTTAGATGTTGACCGAACACCTGCAACAAAGGAGTCGATGTTGCGGAGGTCGGCAGACTGTTCCAGGTTCTGGCGCCGGCGAACAGGAACGCTCTGTCGCCGACGGTAACGTATATGTAGACGTGTAGATGGAACGACGAGTTCTGCTATTGATGACGAACGAAGTCGTCTTCTAGAAGGCAGATCCGACACGCGCTGCAGACATTCCGTGAGATAAGGAGGCGCCAGACCATGAAGGCATCGGAAAGTTAGAAGAGCGACCTTAACTGCGTGCGCTGCTGCAGTCGCAACCAGTGAAGATCGCGCAATATCGGCGTCACGATCGAATTTTTGTTTATTGCACGCGAGTCGAGCAGCAGCAGCAGCAGCAGCAGCAGCAGCGTTCATTACGTATTGCAGCTTATTAGGTGCCGTGGTCGGAAGTTCATAGAGTGTGGCTTTACCATAGTCCAATCGGGTCAGAACGAGCGCCAGCACGAGGTTTTCGAGAGACATCGGCTGACGCTACGCCGCAGAGCGCCAATATAAGCGGTGGTGACTTTGGTTATGTGATTATTCATAGAAAGTTGTGATTGTTCATAGTCCAGCGGAATGCCGAGATTGCGAACCAAAGACTCTGGTATGACGAACTCGTTGCCCCCGCGAACAGGGTTGGCTGGGAGCTGATGCTGGCGCCGAGCAGTCGCAAACCAAATAAATTCGGTTTTAGATACTTTGAGCGGGAGCAGGTTGGAGCGCATTCAGTCTGAGACGGAGTCCATGCAGACAGACTTCCGGTCCTGCAACGCTGCAGCGTTAGCCGATGAACAGTAGCCATAAATTTGGGCGTCGTCGGCAAACATGTGCGGATTCAAACTATGTGAATCAATTATGTGCAATACGTCGACAGTATATAACAGGAGGATCGTGTCTAGAAATGATTCCTGTGGTACACCACAAGTGACCAGCCTTGACCTTATGATGAGTTTAGTACTTCTCAGTAAATGGTCAAGCTGATGCTCCGCCTTCATCGTCTTTCGTCTCCAAATTGTCGATAGGCAGGTCACTCCACCCCTGGGTCCCAGATGTAACGTTGGACGTGTTCCGTCTATTTGCCCTCCATTTGGCCAGCTGATGCAAGATGCTGTTGTTTGTCACTAACTGAGGGTAGTTTCCCATAACTGGACAATCCGGGATCTTCTTCAGAAACTTATCCAGTTGTCTCTTGAAATAGTCGCATGGGTAAACTCCCTCCTCTCCCTCGTTAAACAGCCTTAGTCCTATACCACGGACAGTGATCCCTCACGAAGAGTCTGTACTCTGGCTGCTGCACGGTTATTAAATGGGGGAATCCTGCACAATCTCCCCCCTCCTTTCGTTGTAATACGTCACAATTTTAGAGGTCTCACATTCAAAGTTGGGAGCCAGTCCGGTTAGCTATGGGCAGAGTGGCCCAGTGGTTAAAGTTCAGAGTACCAAGTTTGGAGCAGAGAGGTGCGGGCTCGATCCCAGCTCTGTGCGCTAGTTTCTGGTCAGAATTGGCAATAAGGCTGGGCTGTTAATCAAGCAAAGAAAAATTTGAAGCAGTTAGTTGCGAGTTCAAGCCCCCAATATGCTGCAATGTTAAGAGTCGGTAAGTTCTGCAATGTTGAGAATCGGCGACAGGCCTACGGCCTAATAAACGCTAGAACCACTATTATTATCATCTCCCAAATGTACAGTATAATATACCTCTCTCTCTCTTCTCCTCTCCAGTGAGTACAGTCCCAGATGTTTCAGCCTATCCCAGTAGTTCAAGTCCAGCTCCCTCATGCCGCTGATCATGTACGTGAAGGTCCTCATAACTGCCTCCAGTTTCCGCACCGCACCCGCCTTGAGCGGCGTCCAAAGCTGACAGCAGTATTTAAGATTGAGAGCACTAGGGCTCTGAAAAGTATAATCATTGGCGCTGCTTCTCTTGTTCGAAATGTGGCGTAGAAAAGAGTTTTCGCGTCCAACGCATTGTAACCTATTGCTGAGATAGGACACGACCCACTGCAGCAATGTGCCACGCAGGCCGTATTATACATCAAGTCGATGCAATATACAGTAGTGGCGTGATCGACTGTGTCAAACACTGCCTACAGGTCGAGTAACGACAGTGCCGCAATGTCGCCGTGGTCTACTGTCGCAGAATGTCTGAAAGCACCTTCAGCACAGCGGTTTCTGTCGAGTGGAGATGACGCATGCAGACTGGAGGCGAGGCATTGACCGGACTGCTGAAGATACTTGTTCGGCTGTTGGGCCACAACGCTTTCCAGGAGTTTCGACAAAATCGACAGGTTGCAGATGGGTTGATATGATTTGGGATCAGAAGCGCCATGGTATGGTCGAACACGTGGCCTTGCGCGTTCGACTACCTGCATGGATTCCTTCAACGCGAAGCCGCGCGATGCAAACCGAGTCACGTCGTGCCAGGTCTCGGTCAGCGAGACGGCAGCTAATAAGCGTGCGCGACAGATGTGAAGAAACTCGTCAACCTTGCTATTTAGCGAACGGATTATTTCCGTGAATGATGAAAGGAGATGATTTATTTATTCACAACATTTCAGTTTTCCTTCAATAAAGTCTTGCACATCCTCAAAGAATTTTCCTACAGCCAAATCGTGATATGGAGGCTGGCACTTTCTCATGATTAATAATTTCAGCTCCTAAGAATTATTTGAAAACATCACTCAAAACAGTGACCGCAAGTTTTTTAACAGGATAAGCAACAAAAATTTAGGTAGTATGTAAGAATCTTCCATCAACAAAACGATTTACTAATGAGCAGTTGTTTTGACCAACACGTGCAAGCAGCTGGAATACAGAGAGAAATCGATCTGAGTGAAGTAGGTATACAAAAACAGCGTTCGTACAATTTGAACCTGATGAAACATCTCCAAAATGTACAGCATTAAATTCGTTAAATTCTCGAGAAGGTTGTAATTGAAATCCTAGAACAAGAAAACGGCACTAAAAATGGTTTTATACCCACTCATTGGACGACTAGGCGAGGTTTGGTACGAGTCTGTCATATTTTATTAGTTGAACATAGAAGTCAAGAGTATGAGCGGCACGAAAAATACCAGAGGAGTCCATGCAGAACGAACGAAGTTATATGGCCTTAAAGAAAACTGGGAGTCGGAGGCGCGCGTCGACTTCTTGTGCTGAACTGCATGACATTCTTGACTACAACTAACTGGAGCGAGAGGGGGCGAGCTATCACTTTAATGACTCTTAAAAGAACAATAATTGCGCAATTTTAGTGCACTTAGGCTTACATTTAACTCAATACTGATGCACTAAACCTCAGTAGCCGGAATGATTCCCTTGCGATGTTCCTGTAGGAATTGCTATCAACGGGTGCCGTTCAGTAGATAAAAAGAAAGTAGCTGCCGGATCCTGACTCGGCGAACAGTAGCTGTGCCCCGAGGGACGTGGAAAATTACGCTCCCGTCATTAAACATGTGGTAGCAAATAATCTTGTGACCATTAAACTAATAACAAACCAAAGCCGGTGACAAAATATGAACCTAAGGGAAAAATAGATATTTCAGATTGAAAAAAACTGGTATATAAGGTCATTAGATGAAATATTCGGAATTATGATACATCACCCGTGACGACCCATATACAGAACACTTTGAGAAATTGGCTAGCACCGTGATCGGTATTGTTGGTTCGCATTGAATTATATTATAGGTTATTTATTAAAATATTACCAAAAGTATAACTTAAGCGGTGATTTTTTATTTTATTTGAGAGAGATTGTTCGAAATTATTTGAAAAATAAAGAAACGGCGAAAAATAAAACAACCATCAAAGTAATTATTTCCATTTGCACAAATATAATAAAGAAACGAAATGAAGCAAACGGTTTAAATGTTTATTGAATTTTTGATTGATTCGTGATTTGTGGGGTTGTGCAATGTTTTGCATTATCTTATCTGAGGATGACTCATGAGTGCATTGTAATATGTGTAGTCCTGATTTCGTCTTTCCCTACCTCGACTATAGCTTATTGAACGCGTAACAATGATACATGATGACATCGCGGTGGTAGGCCGCAGTGTCAGTCCTGCGCACCAATACCTAAATTTCATCATAAAACCGTAAATTCCCTTAGCAACCTTAAGACATCATAACCCGCATCAAACATAGTTACCGATGCGCGTTTCGCAAATATTTGATTTCCAGTTACTAAATTTAAGTTGCCAATCACTTTTTTGTGATATCATTAGGCCTATAGTTAGGTCATGAATCTCTCGATAGAGAAAAAGATGCAACGCTGTAAAGTCGAATTTATATTTGAAAAGTCAAAATGAAAGAAACAGAAAAGTCAATCAACCAACAATATGAATTGGCACAACGAAACACAAGCAGTTTTGAATGCTCTTTCAAAGTTCTATATGAAACGTATATAAAAATATTGTTATTAAAAAATCAGCGGAGTTGATTTAATAGTCGATCGGTAACAAAAAAAAAGAGACCGGGCGGAACCTTCTTCGTTTTTTACAAACTTGCAACATGGATCAGAAGCAACGAGTGAGTTCGAGTCGAGAAAGAAGGGGAAAATTTCTTTGGTTTGTCGCAGTGTTCGGTATGCCGACGGCTGCTGAGTTATTGCTCGTAATTGCCACAGTTGACATGGACATGTTGCTGATGGACAGCCAACATTCTTCTTCTGTCGCTGTCACTTTTGTCACCAGTTACGCACGGCGGCCAGGCGCGGCGCACATTCTTCTGAGACAATAATTGCCGAACTGCAAAACTCCTTCACAATCACAAATAAATGATCTTCTAAAGAGGAATAATCACATGAATATTGGGCAAAACATTAGATACTTGATTAAAAATCGAGCAAAAATAATTGCAAAAGGACTAAATTTGCTTAGCAGGACATAAAAATTGAACTTTTGTTATAAATAATTACTAAGCTACTATCTTTGCCAGTGACACTCAATTATTTGATTGCTTCAAAAGATTTTACCATGTGAAATAACGGATGAAGACTTTAATTACCATATGAAATAATGTATGATTGAAATTATTTGAAGTGTGAGAATATATTATTTCACGATGGCACTGACTGA